ATGAGATGAGTGTAATCTGACCTGCAAGACAACTGCACACAAAAATACAGTTCAAAAATAAAACTTTTTGTTGTCTAAGGAGCAGATACTACCTGGAAAGTAGGTTGTGCTGGAAAATACACAAAAGACACACAAACACACCCCCCCACACACATCGTATTATATAGTACTGTATATATCATCAGCAATGGATAACTTTCAACGCCATCACAGAAACTTTACACTGGGTGAGAACTGCCACCTCTCATTCCCTTCCTTGCAGGATTTTTCAGTAGGAAAACAGCCTAATCCTTCCACCCCACAAAAAGATAAGTAAAAGAAGAAATCTAATTGAGAAATACAATTAATTTGAAATCTAACTGAGAACAATAGGTATGACAGGAGAATCCACACCTGGGAAGAGAGTAACACAGAGAGTAGCCGTTACCAAACACACAGTTTTTGTTACAATTTGCACCATTCTTGTCCGGTGGATGCAGCTTTCTGAGATAACCTGTCACAATTTTCTGAGATGCGACAAGCTTTGTGTTTGTTTTATTAAGTTCTGTACTAGCCTTATGATTATCCCGTGCACAATAATGCTTCGCAGTGCAAGTAGTGGTTTCCCTGGAGGTATGAAGGAAACCTAATAGCACAAGTTACTTCAGTTGTACTAGCTGGGCATGCTACGTTCTTGTGGAATTACCTTTTTTCACCTTTCCTAAAACAGAATTCTACGTTGGTAGCTAGGTATTTTCAAGTTTCAGGAGCTTACAAACCAAAGTAAGCGGAGAACTTTTGGATTTCATTGAAATCCAAGGGAAAACCAGGAGGAGATTATTAGAAAAACAAAATTAAATTTTTTTTTTTGTAAGACTAGCAGTGGGTTTTCTATTGTGGCAACAAATTTGGAAAGTAGTATTTGGCTTAGTAAATCACCCTATTCTCAGCGCAGCAGACCAGACTGTAAATCTTCAGCTTGTGTGTTCCCCAGTGCGTTTTGCTTAAGTTAGAAAAAAGAGAACAAACTTGGCAAAGGTATTGGGTTTTTGGGTAATTGTGTCTTTAAAACAACTTCTGGCTCTTCTGGCCTCAAGAAAGAAGTATAACCCCAGACAATTCAGATTCACAGAAAAGAGATGATGTTGATAACTGATGTTTGCTATACTACAGAATCACTGGGAGACATTTAAACCAGTATTTTCCTTTGTATACACCTACTTTCAAAAGCAATGTGCTATTGTAACTGAGATCCAACTTGAGCTACAAATATCGCATAATTTTTCACAACAATTTTCCAGTTGAAGTCGATAGACTGAAATGCTACATGTGTCCCCACTTCTTTTACTACCATTTCTGACTCTGCCATTCTTGCCAGCTCTGAGGTCATCCACCTCATATTCCATTAAACGAGGAATTTAAAATTGCAGCCTCCAAAACAGCAGTACTCTCCTGCTGCCACTCCTCCTTTTTCCCACAAAGAAATCTACTTTTCTAAGCAACCTTGAAAGGAGGCAAACTGCCAGAGCACAACTGAGCCTCCTGTCAGGCTTCTGAGTCCTCCCACCCAACTTGGGTCACAGAAAACTATTTACAACCTTCTAAACAGCTTTGCTGTTCTGGAAAAGAAGGAGGTTTCTTCAGGGTTTTCCCAGTTCTAGCAAGTTTAACAGGGAAGGGGGGGGGGAAGACGACACACCCCAGGATTGCAATACCTCAGGAGCATCAGATGTCCCTTGAACTCTGTGCTCACTAACAGATTTCATACCAACCCCGCACCCCCGCAGCCAACAGCCTGCTCTGGGCTCCCCTGCACGCACCGCTGCGGTGTCAGGCACAGCCAGGGAGGGAAGAAAGGCAGACAGAAAGGGGGGAAAGAAAGGAAGAAAGGCAGAGAGGAAAGGAGGAAAGGAGGAAAGAAAGGAGGAAAGGAGGAAGGAAAGGAGGAAAGGAGGAAGGAAAGGAGGAAAGGAGGAAGGAAAGGAGGAAAGGAGGAAGGAAAGGAGGAAAGAAAGGAGGAAAGGAGGAAAGAAAGGAGGAAAGGAGGAAAGAAAGAAAGAAAGAAAGAAAGGAGGAAAGAAAGAAAGAAAGAAAGGAGGAAAGAAAGAAAGAAAGAAAGGAGGAAAGAAAGAAAGAAAGAAAGGAGGAAAGAAAGAAAGAAAGAAAGGAGGAAAGAAAGAAAGAAAGAAAGGAGGAAAGAAAGAAAGAAAGAAAGGAGGAAAGAAAGAAAGAAAGAAAGAAAGGAGGAAAGAAAGAAAGAAAGAAAGAAAGGAGGAAAGAAAGAAAGAAAGAAAGAAAGGAGGAAAGAAAGAAAGAAAGAAAGGAGGAAAGAAAGAAAGAAAGAAAGGAGGAAAGAAAGAAAGAAAGAAAGAAAGGAGGAAAGAAAGAAAGAAAGGAAAGAAAGAAAGAAAGAAAGGAAAGAAAGAAAGAAAGGAAAAAAAGAAAACAAAGAAAGGAAAGAAAAGAAAAGAAAAAAAAAAAGAAAGAAATGAAAGAAAGAAGACATGAAGGCGGGAAGGAAGGAAGGATGGAAGGAAGGAAGGAAAGGAAAGAAGGAACAAAGGAAAGAAAAGAAAAGAAACAAGCTTATGAAAAAGAGACAATGTTGGGAGTCACAGGAGACAGTTATCTCATTGATGCTGAAATACAGTATATTGCAAGAGTTTCCTGAGGGCATCCTTGAGCTCCTAGTTCCTCATGCTGTAGATGAGGGGGTTCATGGCTGGAGGAACAACCGAGTACAGAAATGACACCACTATGTCCAGGAGTGAGGAGGAGATGGAGGGGGGCTTCAGGTAGGCAAACGTGGCAGTGCTGATAAACAGGGAGACCACGGCCAGGTGAGGGAGACACGTGGAAAAGGCTTTGTGCCGTCCCTGCTCCGAGGGGATCCTCAGC